ACCGAAAATTCCTGGTGTGGAGAAATCTCCTGCTTTGAAAGGCATTGTAACATATACCTGTACATTTATTTATACTTAATAAGCTTCTGAACAGGAGTTCTGTGAGGTACTATCTAGGAAACTCCTTCATTCTCTTCCTAAGAAAGTACTTGATACAAATGCAAATTCTACTTTCTATCAATTTTAATTTGATAATAGGAAAAGGTAAAAATTTATTTATTATATTTTTTAATATGACTTAAGACCATTATTTGCAGTATTTTTATTTACTCTTAGGTCTTATATTTGAGAGAGAAAGAGCACACAAATTCTTTTATCTAAAAATGAACTTCATGATGCATCCATTTAAAAATATTAAGACTCAAAGTAACTTAAACTGCACAAATACTTTACAATATAGGCACTGTATTTAAAAACACAAAAAGACAGAAAAATATTTCCTGAAACAAATTACTTTCAAAGCTATCCAATAAAAGTATTCATTTCACTGATAAGATTCTTCTGGAAAAACATTTAAGTGTAATACACCAGCTATATACTGTGCTGGCTTACCAAATGCACACGTGTACCAAAAACATCATGAAAGTTTTCCAAGGTTGACCATCATGAACCATATTCTCTGGATTTAAGAGGCACAACTATTAACTTATTAAGTGCCAGAACAAAAGAACAAATTACATTACTTATCATTAAACAGTGCCCTTTAAGCAAAGAAGAGATCATTTTCCTTGGCCTTGAATCATTTGGAAAGGTCATTTGAATTCATAAATATGTGCTCCAAATTCAATTAATGAGAAACACACGTTAGTGAAATTTAGAAGTTACATTTTGTTTGACTCATTTTCTATCCAAGTCTTTTCTGCCCCTCTGTCCCTGTTTAAGATTTCACATACTTTATTTTTAAAGACAATTCTGCTGAGGAAAGAGTGTTTCACAAACACATTCCTCACAAGTGCTGAACTGCCAGTGCCAGCCTCCCTACCCCTAAAAATCAGCAACAGACTGCTTTTTTTCAATTTCCCAGCACAGAGAGTCAAAAGAAATAAAATGCTGGACATACCATATGTGCTCTCACAACACATGTACCTGGCAGAACAGAAAAGTACTGGGACGAAATTGCTGTCAGCTTTCTGAAAAATGTAATGGATGCCAAAATGTCTCTTTGAATGAATGTCTACAGACACTGTGAGTCTGGCAAACTGAGGATCAGTGACCAGAAACCTCATGTGATAGACATTGAGGGGATACCTGCAACATATGAAATGTCTGGAAATAGAGCCAGCTGACGAGAGATTGAACACAATGTGTGCATCCCAGAATCTTCCTGAACAACCCTGGCATACTGGGCCAGTTCCCTAGAACATGAAAAAAGATCTCTCGCTGTGATTCTGCTGCCCCTCCTCTTCTAAAAGCCCCCTGAGAGGTTATACCTACCCGTGGGATCTTCAGGCATGAGCAGCATTTACTGGATTCCTTACAGCTCTCAGGAGCCAGAGTTGCAATTGCTCTTTCAGCCTCTTAGCTGACAAATGAGTAAAGAGAAATGTCCTGATTTTGCTAAATCAGAAGGCTCTTGCTACTTTGTTATAGATAAGGTACTTTTATTGAAGGATACTACGGGCAAACACAAAAAAATGCCTATTCAACTATGCCTGCATACTGATGGAAATTACTTTAATACAGTCTGCAAACAGATTGTGTAGCAATAAAAGTAAATATTTATCTTAAAAATACAATATCTGTGTTATAAAAGCAAAAAGGAGTCTAACAAATAAAATGAGATGAAAATGCTGATTTGAAAACATTCATTGAATCAGAAAAGATACTTAGTATCAGGTGATAAAAACAAAATTTTCAAATGCTACTCGCCAGGAAAGAATCACCTCATGTAACTGCTCAATTTTATAGCAATCATATAACTAAATGCCATTTTTCTGTAAAAATTTCCAGCCTGAGGTACTGTCCTGTTGTTCAGATAAGTCTACACATAAAAGTGTCTGCTTCTAAGTACTGAGAACAGTCATTCTAGACCAAAATGCTAGAAAACTCATCTCATTTATGACATAAATTTTCTCCAAAACCTGATACATATTCCACCCACTGAAACTCTTGTGTTGGCCTAAAGGCTTGTTTTGTTTACTTTCTATTTTTTTTTTCCATCTGGATATCAACTGTGTGTTATTAAATTTGCACCATGTGGTTCCAAAGATTGCTGCCACCATCCATAGGCATCTTTTCTGAAGACAAACTATAGCCTATCTCTGCTGAGTGTCTTTTACATACACCAGAGGAATTTCAGCTCTGTAGGAAACTTCATTCATTACAGGAATTTTAAGCTACATTTGATACACTGACCATACAACCATATAAAATTGTTTGGAATTTCATGCTGATTTTATAGGAAGTACAGTTGTTTTCAATTTTGGATGCCCCTCTCTAGGTTGTTTGTTTTGTTTCTTTTCCTGGCTTAAATCTGATTTCTTTCCCAGTTACTTTGTGGTATATGAAGTCTTCTCTTAAACCTCTTCCAAACTTCTCTGGGGATGCTTTAGATAAAGCAACAAAATAACATAGTTTACATTTTAAGTTTGAAATCAGGGACATTTGAGACCTTGTTGAAGCCTGGCCTTCTGAATTTCTTCTCATCCACATCTTATTAATTTAAGCATGCCTTTAAAGTAATTTTGGTTACTAGAGTATGAAAAGGTCAATGAAACAATCCATGTAAAGAAATTTTCTCTTTCCCGTCCTAGCTTGGTGACTTTTTTCTTTTAATGAATAGATATTGAAAGGATTAAACACCTTTACTTCAAAAGGAAACACGTAGGAATAGACCTTCTAATTTAACACAAGGAAAGACATTGATGTCTCAACTGTGAATAAAGTACAAGAAAAAGTAAAGAAAAACAAGTACCCCAAACCAAAATAAAGTAACTCCAACAAGTTAGTCACAATCTACTTCAGGCAAAAAGGAAAAACTAAAAAAATAATGTAAAAATTGTAACAATAATAATATTGCTTTGGACAAAATCTTTTGGCATTTCCTTTTTTAAAGTAGTAAGATTTCTACTAGTGTAACTTCAGCCAACATCAGCTTACTCAAGGAAATATCAATTCCTATTAGCATGATTTGTTTTAAAAAGTAATTTTAAATCTTTCATTTTTTAAAATTCTGTATAAATAGAAACTCAAACATAGACTTTTTTTAAAAAACTGCCCTTAAGTTAATGGCCAGAAGAGGCAAAAGAACAAATGGATATAAGCTGTCACTGAAGAAATGCAGAGTGCAACTTACTACAAAGTCTCTAGCCATTAAAATAAATCAAACTCTGGAACAGCCTTCAGCAGAAACACTGGGGGCAAAGAAATAACAACTCCAATTTAGTATTGGCAAAGTTTATGAAAAGAATTATCTGACGCAATTCCCAGGCTAGCAGAGCACTGGACTTGATGACCCAGAGATCCCTTCCACTGTTATGTTCTTTGTTAGGCTAAATGCAGATGTTCATCTGGTTTTTAGCCTCACTGTGGTTTTTCTAAAGTGAAATTTAAATGATAGTTAATATAATTTTTGTAAGTTTCGGTTACAAATTACCCTTTGTTACTATTGCTAGGCCTGCAGAAGAGTGGAACTTGTCGAAGAATTCTAAAAGCTTGACTTAAAAAAAAGATGGTTTAGCATTATAGCGGAGTACAGAAGTATAAACAGTCTGAGCTGAATGCGCAGCAGTGCACACACCATGAGAAGAGGGAACTGATCTGCTAAAGAAAAAAGGATGAAAAATATATCCATATGTTCTATGACTGATACATCAGTAGTATCAAGGAGAAAAGCAAAACAGAACATGAAGGAAAGCAAAGGACAAGAGGAGACAAAAATGTATAGGGAAGGAGAAATATAATAGATATTTAATGCCTGTCTTAAAAACCTAACTAATGAAAAACTATTACTGTGTGACAGTGAAAAGTCAATGCCAACTTGAAAGGGCAAAAAAGGAAATGTTTAGTTAAAGAGGAAATTCAGGTGATGCTCTAACACATGCCTCTCTCCCACCGCCCTCACTTGACTCCTCCATGCTTAGCTCTTGCAATTTGCCTGAAGTTGGCTGCCTTTGAAACAGCCCATTTTGGAGAAGGACTCCCAGTTGCTATGGCAGAGTTCTGTCAGGGATTCAGTAATGAAACAAATAGCTCAATCTCAAATATGCAACTCTAAATTATTGCTTATGAAAACATTAATAATATTTAAGCTTGAAAACAACCTGGCGTTCCTTAATAACTTGCATAATCTCCTGCCTTATTTTTTTTTTAATATTAACAAAAGAATATTTTTTATGTTGCAGGTAACATAAATGTATCGGTAACTGCAGAAAATACTGCTGATATGTATCAGCATGAGATGAAAATAAATCAGGGTATAGAAAACAACACTAAATATTTTCTGGTTTTGAATAAATAAGCTCTCAGGGCAGCCTTTAATGATTTTCAAATACACGTATCTTTACAGCTCCAATCAGTCATAAAAGCACACAAAGGTCAAGCAAATACTTTATCTTATTTAAGACACTGTGGTCTGTTTTCTGTCACTCGCAAGTTCTAAGGTTTACACTCTTTCAAGGGGATGATACTGCTACACAAGACTTCAAAATAAAGGCTTTACACAAATTCTGTGAACCTTGATGGCTTACTACATATTCCAAATGAAACCCTGATCCAGATAAATTCTAAGCTACACTGAGTCTCTGAAAATAGAGGAATTATTTCAATATATATTTTTAAATTACCACCATACAATTTTAAAGTGGCTCTATGCAGATGTGATTATAAAGGGAATTTTTTAAGTCTAGCCCTTTCTTCACATGAATACATATAATTTTTATGTTTTCCAAGAATAAATTCAATAAACATGGAAATACTACAAAATATTCGTTCAAGGAAACCTTCTGAGTTAACTGGAGAACAACCAATCATTTTACAGCCCTTGCTGTGTACCTTTGCAGGTATTCTAGAAATCCGAACAGTGGCAGTTGGAATAGTGGCAATCAAAGGAGTGGAAAGTGATTACTTTCTGGCAATGAACAAGTCAGGGCGACTCTATGGAAAGGTATGGATGCAAACTTCTCTTATGTGTACATCCCTACAATCTTAGAGGCATTTTGAGATGTAGCATTTGAATGGTTTTCTGTAAAACAGATTCCTAACTATGTAAAATGTATTCTGGACTTATCCACACATCCCATATTAGACTTTTATGTCTATTTAACAAATTCAATGATTAGACCTTATATAATTCTTCAAAATGTGGAATCCTAAGGGGGAATATACAAAGCTAGAATATTCAATACTCATATTTCAGAGGCCAAATTTATTCATTAAAATATTCCTAATATGCAGGCTCTATAATGCTCATTTGTCTCCCATCTTCCCTAATCTAAGTATTTAAAAGACACTTGTACTTGCCTTACCATATTTTATTATTTACTCTCAACAGAAAGTCTGCAATGAGGACTGCAACTTCATTGAACTGATTGAAGAAAACCATTATAATACATATGCTTCTGCAAAATGGACACACAAAGGAAAAGAGATGTTTATTACACTAAACCACAAAGGGGTTCCAATGAAAGGTAAAAAAACAAAGAAAGAACATAGAGCATCCCACTTTCTTCCTCTGGCAATATCCTAATCACAAATGATCTATAAAGAACTAGTTCCAGCAGGAAGATTAATTTTAAGACGACTGTTTGACAAGATACCAAGAGAGGCTGGAATACTACTGAGAAACTGAACAAGCTGGACTTGCGCATTTATGTTTATTTTTAAGAGACTACATGAAAAAGATTTGAAAATATACACAAAACCAGATTTACTAACTAAAAGTTGTAAAAAATTCTAAAGAGTTGTACAATCATTATCTTAGTCATTGTAACTGGGTAGTTTCTTAAATTAATTTACCCTGAAGAATAAGTCATTACTTGAGTATCTGATAATATTTTATTTAAAAAACTATCTGCTTCTTAAATATGGCTGCTATAATAATAATAAGCAGATGATAATGTTGTGTAAAATATGTCAGACTTTAAGGCTGCTGGAATGAGTTGTCAGATTATCAAGTCAATAGAAAATGTGGAGGCTGAGCAGTATTTTAAATACTTCCCCCAAGAAACTCATATCCTATACATAAACTATATGATAAAAAAAAAATATAATCTTGTAAATGTTTACTGTTGTATTCAGATAAGAGAGTTAGTTTGGACAAATTAAGTTTACTCTAACACAAAATGTTCCTATCTATTAATGAAACAAATACCTAATGCTGCTCTAAAAGATGTTTCAAATAGTATATGTAAAATAAAAATAGGAATAAATAATGTACTTCATCTCACTTTTCACAAATTAACATTTTATATAACAATGAAGCAAAAATTCAGACATATTAAGGTTTTTTATGTAACATATCCTATCTTTTGTATAATTCCTGTTAGGGCATACAGCTTTCAATATTGTTTTTCCATTCTTATACATGCTTTCTCTGTTGTTACAGCATTAAACTTTATTTTAAGTTGTATTTGAACTTTATTGTTTTAAGTTATTTAAATGTTATTTATAAAAAAAAGATACTTATTAAGCTGCATCTGTTTCATATGCTTTTAATTCTAAAGGAATAACAAAATGGTCTGGCTGAGATGCATGAATTTTTTTCTGTGACCAGACACAAAGCCTAGTACACAACCTTCCTGCCAACATACATTGGATGGCAGACAAAAATGACAGCCTGCAGCAAATCACACAATGGACATCTCAAAAGAAACAATGCAAAAATTTTAAAAATCTATGCCACATACTCTTGATAATTGAATTACTGGCATGCTCAGAGTTATCCAGGTAAAAGAAGGTTACAGTTCCAGCAGGCACCTGAAATAATCCTAAAATGGTAGAACCTCCACTCACAGATACAGAAATATGTGCAAGCCTGCGTGACTAGTTAAACTACAGCTGAAACCACTGTGACCTGAGGAAGAAAAGACATCTTAATTTTCTAGCTATGAAAGCACTCAACTAAGCCCTACCTGATTTATGCCTTATATAATTTAATTGTTTCCCTACAGTTTTTCTCGGGTTTGTGATAGTTGCACTTAGATAAAGATCACCAAAAACTAGTTAAAGCAGCTGACGTGACTGGGATAGAGTCAAGTTAATTAAAAATGCTTTGAAATGCTTCAATGTTATGCATTGAATAACAAGTGTCTAAGAGTCAACCATTTCTTCCTACATGAAACACTTCCATTTTAAGAGCACTCACAAAAAATGACAGCAATTTCCTTTGACAGATTTTCATTTTTTAAAAAAAAATCTTGTTTAACAAATAGTGCCATTTGAAAATAATTTATGATACTAGCAAGTCAAATATCAAAGAAGATACAAACAGATCCATGAAAAAAAAGTGTCAGTACAGCTCTACCAGTAAACCTTCACTGTGCTTTTGTTAATTTATTTATTACTTGTTCACTGAACACAACAGACTGTACTATACAGGAAGCTTTTTTGCTGGCACCTCCCTGCACTACTTTCTGTGAATATGTAACAGTGAAACAAAGCTCACACTTATGATCAATATTAACATACTAGCAGAAGTTTCAATATCTAAACTAGGTTAGGAGAAGCTTTAAAATAAAAATGAAGATAAGAAAACCCCATTAGGATTGTTTGTGCTTAAAGGCTTTACTGAAGTTTTAATTAAAATGTATGTATGCACGTTAATATATAAATATATATGTAAAAAAGCTTTAAACCAGATGCAGACAGGCTCTTTTAAACAATCTTTTGATTATGTAATTCAGTAACATAGAAATACAGTCAAACAAATCCTGAATGCAAATTGCAATTAGCCCTTACTGCTAAAGGCTTTACATAATGAATCACAATGTTACCACCATTTTCAGATAAGCCAAGGCTGCTTTTTTTTTTTTTTTTTTACAGCTGTCACAACTGAAATGTGTTGTGTGAGGGAATTGTTCCCAGAAAGACACCTGACTGCAAACGCTGCAATTCATCAGTACCACACTCATATGTCTTGTCAACTGAGCATTGTCAATGTATCTTTATCTTAGAAAATCTATTCTCAAACACCGACTCAAAAAAATCAGTTTAGTGATGAAACCAGAGAATAATAATCAGAAAATTTACAGTGATGATCTCCAGTAACAAACTATTACAAGACAAGAATAATATGAATCTATTTGATCTTAACAGTAATTCAGAAAGATGTCAGAAATCTTCACAAAAGCTTCTTACATCAATTACGTCACAATCCAGTGCAATCTTAACACCAACATACCATGTCAGAGGGAAATACATTTTTAAGTAAAGAAACTGATACACAAGTCTGGAAACGTCTCATTTCTAACCTGTATAATACTAAAAGTTCAAGAAAACCCAAGCAAAAAGAGCAATAAAAGCCAATCTCAAGTGTAATTTCTTTGCCTTTCCTTTAGAGGCATTGGCTTTGCTGGAGATTTTTTCTTTGTTTCCCACTGACACTACACAGTGTGTCCAGACTGGGGCTCAGAGGGAAAACACAACTCCTGTGGTCAAAGCAGCACCTACAGCAGCCACTCACATCTCACAGAAACTGCTCCAATACAGCAGCTGTAATTAGAAAGGTTTTACTTATTTACTTTGGTATTACTGCTGATAAGCACTCTGGGACACAAATGAGCAAATCTCAACTGAGGAATCTCAAAGGAGACTGCAGAATCTCCATTCTTGGAGGGTTTTAAAATACAAAGCCCAGTACAAGCAGTGTGGGTCCTAATTTGAGCAGGAGATTGGACAAGAGACCTGCAGTACTACTCTTCCTATTTTAATGAGTCTAGGAGTCTATAAAATATATTTTTCTTGAAAGAATCCCTTCAAACAACTACACAAAACACATTTCCTTGTTAGGGGGATAGATACTTACACATTTGTCTCATAACTTGTGAGTCTTTAAAGGTATACAAAATGGTGTAAATACATTTCATACACAATAAAAATGACAACTGGACAATATCCATGACCTATATAATATATTATATGGTACAATACAGTCTCACTTTTAGTTCTGTTGCAGGTACCTTAAAACATGGCTCTGCATAGCATCTGTAATAATCACATTACTAAATGGCTGATCAATTGACTATTAAAATACACTTGTCTGTGTTTTAAATTACTTTTTGAAGAAAATATGTATATTCTCTTTTAATAAGCTGAAGCAAGATGTAAGTTGACATTAAATCAATAAAGTAATAAAAACATCAGTATTTCATTGCACTTAGTGACCAGTATCTGAGTAGTCTAAATATTTCATAAAGCTATGAAATCTATCTCCTCACTACTAGTTTTTCAAATACCACAATAATTTAGTAACATTTAACATGTAGAAAAAGAAAGTGACAGTTTAGATGATTTTCCACAAATTAGAAAAAGTCATCATCAGAGATGAGATCCACACTTAGAAATATTTAACTAACATTTAATAACAAAAAAAAAAAGTAAGTACAATTGTTTACATCACTGGATGAGTTTTAAATGGTAACAGTTAATTAAATCACACATTTACTTAATACAGCAGAGAAGGCAAATTTAGTAGCAGGAAAAGATGCTAAATTCTCTATGCTGATAATTTTGAAGATTGGGACTGTACTCAAAGCAGAAATTAGATGGGAAAAATATTCGAAGAGTTGCACAAGGTTTTTAACATGACATTTATACTAACTTTATAAATATTGCCCCAGCAAAATTTCTAAAAAAGTATTTTAACACCGTACACTGAAATTCATAAACCAGGGAAATTTAATTTTAAATATTTGGGGGTTGGGGGCTTAATATATTATTAAAACTAACAATTCACATTTAATTTTGAAGTCTTGAGTTCTGTAAATAACTTCCCAATACCTGTCTGAGGAAAGCTAGCTTGTAAATCTTAAGCATTCCAGACACTGAAATTCCATAACCGCTTACATTCCAGGCCTAAAAAGGGAGATTTTCTTCCATTCTGCCTGGAAGGCCAATCCTAACTCACCAAGATTGGTTGTTTCATTAGGGAAACTCTTTTATTTAGAGGCCTGGCACTTGAAAAGATTGACCCAATACAAAAGGAAAACCAAAATTACTCACTTCAGATGAAATTACTTTCTCATGAAAATAATTCTTTTACTTCAATGCTAACCAGAAAAACAGAGGAATTAGAATGAAGATGCGTAAGTTTGTCACGTAAAGGTTAGTGCCACAGAAGCTAGCCTGGCTCAGGTCTCTCTGCACCCCCCCCCTTCAGGAATTTCTATACATTGCTAAGTTTCCCCCAAGCCTTCCATCCCCAGGCTAAACAGTGCCAGCTCCCCATCCCTCCTCATGGGAGAGATGCACCAGCCCCCAGCCACCTCCGTGCCACTTCCCTGGGCTCCCTTCTGTCCATGTCTCTCCTGTTCTGGGAGCCCAGAACTGAACACAGTACTCCAAGTGTGGTGTCACCAGCACTGAGTAGAACAGAAAATTCACCTCATTTTCTTCCAGCCAATCTAGTAATTTCTTTACGACCCCTAGAAATGTTCTTTATAATGTTATATCATATAATTTTAATCAGGATCCAGGAGCAATTCCCTTTACAATTACAACTGGCTGTCCAAAGATAAATCCAATTCACTATTACCTTGGACAGCACCAGTTTTGATGGACAAGAATTCAGTCTTCAGTTAGTGACTGCTCAGTTTCCAGGATTCATCTACTGGCCTTTGAAACCTTGCTCTGCTGCAGATTTCTTATATAACTTTCAGCAAGCCACTTTCAATGTCTTATTTGATAAGAAAGATGAACAAGTTTGGGTCTGGCATGCACTGCTAAAACATCAAACATACACAAATTACCTGACTAATCACACCAGGCAGCAGAGGAGCTGCAGCTGTCTGCACCCACACTGACAGTGACTTCTGCTGCTACCAGAACACCCCATGCCACAGGCAGATCAGTGTCTCTGCTCACCCCAGCAAACAGGGTGAGACTGTTTATATCTTCTTGAGTTACTCTGATCTTTCTGCACAGTACAGAAAAATGGGATGAAACTGGAGAGGAAAGGGAACATTTGAAAGCCATGGACACTCAATTGCTGTGTAAGATACATTAATAGTTCAGCTAACCTGTCAATGCACCTCATTCCTATTGATTTCACCAAAACCCAGGCATAAAAGTCTATCTGAAGAAGTAACTAACTACTCAGTGGCCATGAAAGAGAATAAGTGATTATTAAATAAAACAGTGAGCACCCTGAAAGCCTAAGGTAGATCTCTACAGGAAGGACTAAAATAGTAAGGCTTCTCCCTTTATTGCCATAGGAAAAAAAAAAAGTTGTTGTATCTTGGCAAAAAAACATCAAGGTAACAGCTGCAGAGTCTTCAAAATTATTGTCATTAAAACAGGCTCCCTGAGGTCAGAAGTGTTAATAAACAATTGAGGTGATTTATTGACCCTGCTTCCAAATAATCACTTTTTATTTGTTTTCATATTCTTGTTTCTATATACTAGTAAAGTATCAAGCTCTAAAAGGAAATATGGTTATACTGGAATGGAACCACTAGATGTTATAAAGATCAGGCAAATGTTTCCAATGAGTTTAGATTTTTGGGTTTAAAAAAATACCCAAATGTTCCTGTGTTCAAAAACACAAATACATTTCTATTTCTAAACACTGTACTGCAAACTGAGCAACACATAAAAAATGGATTCTGTAAACAAGAATCTCCTTTCAAGACTGTAATTTGATGAGAGTAACACAGACTTTCAATTTTAAAGAAACCACATTAATTGTACTTATAAAGAAACACTAAAGTAAAAAAGGAAAATTACTCAGGAAAGCTAACAAGCAATACACAATGACAGTAAGACTGTTCACTTTATTAAGTGAACTGTGCATAAGCAATCTATATAAAGATTCCATAAAGCCATATCCATTTGTAGACACTAAATCCCTCAGCTAGGTCTCAAGAGGAACTATCCTCTTTGCTTAAATAGCCACACACAGCTCTTCCACAACCACATTACAAGAGAAAGCTTCGTGGAAATCATGGCACATGACAGAACTCTTCCCATCCTCTGCTGTGTCTGCAGCACCTCATTAATTCAGGATTTCTGAGTACAACATGTTACAAACTCCTCTCCTTAACATTAACAGACACAAGAGACAACCCACCATCTTTTCCTAAGCATTTACTCTAATTGTAGAGAAAATATATCAGAGTGGTGTTACTGAAAACGCAAACTTTCAAGTTTTTGCTCAAGTTATTTTCCTCTGAATTATTTCGCAACAAAAATAAGGTTTTTCTGCCTTGATGAACGGGGAATGATTTAAATTCAGGAAAAGCACATGAGCCCATGAAAACAAAACAAATGAAGGGGGGAAAAAATGCAGGGATAGGAAAAGTTTTGGTTATGGTTGTTGCAGACTGACAAAAAGGATTAAGAGAATATTGTTGCATAAAATTGTGGCTGTAGATGCTTGAAGGAAAACAGTAATTTCAGGAAGGGAGAAGAGAGAAGAAACTGGCTACCCTGAAGGAAAAAAATGCTGGATAACATTCAGAAAGGGAGCAAGTTAGAAACAACATCAACACAAGAAGGTTGAAAAAAAAATTAAAATACTGGTCATGAGGAAGAAGAGAAGGCTAGACTGAAAGAATAACATTCAAGGTCTGATCCATTGGGACAGCGAAAACAAGGAGGTAAAAGAGGCTACAATGCACATACTGAAAATGGGATCCAAATACCAGAGAAAGGAGTAGAAAAAGAGTGGCTGTCATTAGTACAAGAAAACTGACAAATCAAACGAAGATGGATTATCAGCATCTCCTTTAAATGCTTTGTACTACTGTTCACAGCTTAATCAAATTGACTTACAAAATATTGGCAGGATATATGTTTAGAGGTGATCAAAATTCACATTTAATTTTGAATTGCTTTAACATTTTGGGTTTGTGCAAAATAAACTGGAAGTATTAGAAACAATTTTTGTTGACAATTAAGTTTTTGCAGTGTACCATAAGCTTCATTCCAAAGTCTATGGTCACACGGATTATGTGTTTAAAATATTTACAAGACTGACTGGCTGCTGCAGAACTGGCAGATGCATCAGCTTGTATTTTAGCAGTAGCATCTTTACTAGTATGAATTACTGTGGCAGCCTTAAGGCTTTTGAGATTCCATTTATTTCACACACATTTCCTTGGTTTTAGACCTAAAATTTAAAAAAAAAAATTAATTTAGAAAAATGTTTATGTCAATTTTGAAAACCACCCTATGAATATCCCCAAATGAAATTAAAATTGCTTTATTTCCTGTCTCAAATGTGCAAATTTTTAAGCCACTGTCAACTTTAGGCATGAGATACAAGTCTGTTAACTGAAATAATTACATTCATATACTTAAAGTCAACCAGAACAGTTTTTGCTATCTTCCTTCTGCTTCTGCTTGGGTTTGCACATGGGTGAATATCCTTACTTTGTGGTTGTTCCAGTTCTGGTAATTTAATACATTTGCATATGTTTTGTTGAGGTTGGGAATTATTCTCGCAGCAATACTTAATTTACTTTATTCTGTGGTTTTCAGTCTTCATTCCACTCAAATTTTACACAGCTCCCACACCGTAGGTTTCATGCAGACACAGACTCTGTGCCATAGCAGTGGTCTCCTAGAGTTCTGGGATTTTTTTCTGGTCTGACTAAATTTCACTTAAATCTACCCATTATCTGTTTATAGTGGTTACACATTACAGAGAATGCTGTGGGCTTATCCGTCTCTTCCAAGTTAAAGGCCCTTTAGGAGTTTGGAGCATGTATAACTTTGATGTATATAAACCTTCTCTAAATTAAATTTTTCAGGGTGATCTTTTTCTACATACAATTTTCTCTGTCTGTAACTAAAAAGAAAATTCTGTCCAACACACAGTGACTGACACAGAGAAAGGTTTTGAGAAGATATTTCTGTATTTTACATTTACTTCAAAAACATATTTCTTTTGCATTTGTCAATCAGTTTCAACATATAACATAATGAAATCCACATTGTCATGAAATCTAAATAAATGAGCACTAAAGACAGAAATCTGCTCTAAATCTAAGTTGTGGAATGGATATCAAATGACATGTGCACTCTAAAAATCATAAAGTTTTACTGTCAAAACATGCAGGTATTTAATGGTAATATAATACTACTTCCCATAGAAATTTCTAGGACAGGTATAGTCTGAATTCTGTAAGAATATTTGTAAAAGGTGGCTCTTTTTTATATACCTTCAAGGCTACCTACAAACAGTTGCTTTTGCAAAAAACATTTTGAGATGTTTGATTCAGTTTTGTTTTACTTAAGGAAAAATAACGCCAAGAATAATTAGTTCAGATTCTTTTCCAGGGTACTGATTTAAAATATTTATTCATATTTATATACCTACAATCAGTATTAAGAAATCATTGTAATTATTATTACGGAGCAGAAAAAGCTACCTTTGACATCAGTGTTTCTAGTTCTGCATTTTCTATGTATGTATACATGTATGGCATTACACACATAAGGCAACAGATTCTCACTGAAATGCACAGCTGGTACTCTGGACAAAATATGCCTCAGGGAAAGGAAAAAAAGTACAAGCCTGATACTCACTGAAAAACTAAGTCTACCAATCCCTCCTTAAAGTCATCATCAAAATATTTAATAGATTCAGGAAGTACTGCCCAAAAAGCAACATAATGATTTGTGACAACCAATCAGGATACACCTGACAAAATAACACCATATCTAAAAAGTCTACGAAAAAGATTTCATGTAGTAATTTTTTTAATTAATGTAAAAATATTGAAGTGAACTGTCACAATTGCAAAGAACTTCGGTTATAGGAAAAATGTTTTTAAAAATCACATCATTTAATAATTTCATTTTGCTATTCACATATTATATGTGCCAAAAAAATTCCCTTTAATAACCACCCATGATAATTTCCAGCTTTTCCTCGCCAGTTCTGGTTGTTCCCTCTCTCTCAAGTACTTACATGCTGCCTTCTGGAGCCAAAAGCTGCCAATCTGGATGCAGGAACATTGGTTTATGCGTCACATTAATACTTTTATGTGCCAAAATGCAGCAGCTACCATGTATCGATGAAAATCCTACTGGTACTCTTACCTGAGAAAAAGCATCTTTAGCATGTCTGGGAACAAGACGAAAATGTGCCACAAAATCTGCCATTCTGTCAAACAAGTGCTCTTGGTTAGGCTTCAAAAGGGGAAAAAATCAGGGCAAAGATACCTACATAAATTCAGACATGGCTGTGAGCAAAATAGTAATGTACAACATTGTCAAACTCACAGTTATCTGAGGTGAGGCATTGCCAACACAAAGGAGCAGCACCAAAACAATTCCTCAATTTGTGCCCTCTCTTACTCCAACACATCCTTCTTCTAAACTTTTTAACAACTCCTAAGTGTTTAATCGCTTTTGAGTATATTGAAGTAGCTCCTGATTCAGAACAGCACTAAAACATGCATCATCTGAAGCACATGTTACGGTTATCAGCCAACAATTAAGACAGAATCTAAGTGATGTACTGAACCAAAGCCAGTGTACATAATCACAGCCTCCTGTCACAGGAATATTTTCCTCCTCTTCTTAATAAAGAACACAGTGATTATCTGAGGCAACAGAACCCAGACACTTTTGATTTATGCTCTTAACCTAAATATTCCAAACTCATACCTTTTATACATTTTAGCACCATTACACAAGGTAAGCAAAGCAAAATAAACAGTCAATTTCATCTAAAAGTTTATTTTAAGCTTCACAATATAAACCTGCTAACTAAACTAATTCTTCATACGCTCAACTACAGCTCCTTAAAGTTACATGAAATGTTATCTTGGACCTAGAGCTGATGCACTTGAGCTGCATGAGTAAAACACTTGTATTTTTGTACTTGTGGCATATGCAGATTTTTTTGTTTGATAATAACAGCTATAAGAACACTTGAAATAATTTATATGTTAAACTTCTGGAGAAACCATGACCACAAGGAATCCTGAAGCACTGCTATAGATTATCTTGTGAGAAACAGACTTCTTCAGACTTTGAGAACAATTTTCTATCAAAACGACAAAAAAAATATTCAGTACAATCAATGCAGGGATTTAGAACTCCTAAAACCACAAAGCAAATCACAACTAGACAAAGGTAAAACATACAAGGATTTAATTTGAAACATGATCCACAAGCATATAGGAACTTCTTTCAGCTTGCAGCAGTACTGAAGGGAAAAACTTGCAGGGGGAATGTTTAGCTTTTACTGACAGGAACAAAAGCAGCTTCTTCGGGTATCTCAATGTTACACTGTCAAAATACAGGGACTGATTTGCATTTGCCAGATACCTGCAAGTCTCTTAGCCTATTACTGATTTTTCTTTTCAATTTTCAGTAAACCTAAGACTAAAAGTCTAAACATCTAAAGTTTAAACCACAAAAATGTTTTTGTTTGATAGAAAATTAGTAAGGCATCCAGTCACACCTGTTGTATTAAATCTGTAACATAATAAAAATATGCAAGAACAGAAATATTGTAAATAACCACTATTAAAAAGTAGGTGAAGACATTGGACTAACATGATCTAGGAGGCAAGCATTGATCCTAAGCTGTGCCAAAACTGTGTGAAGAAGTGCTAATAGGATTTCCAGATTCCTCACATCTTGCTTGTCTGGATATATTTGCACATCTTTAAGCACAAATAAACAAAAAATGTTATCAGTCCACCAAAGGAGGCATTTCAGAAAGCATCACAGCTTTTGTCAGAGTATTACAGAGTAATTATATTTGTAAGAGGAATAGCTGTAGATTATAAACTCATGTAAGACTTTTACCCAGTGGAAGCAGTAAACTCTACAGCCAATCTGTGGAGAACAGGCTTGCATAGACTTTTGCCTGCACTTTGTTTAGGCCTAAACAAAATATTCCTAAAACCCAGGCAGAACTGGGGCTTGAGTTTATTAGGTTTATTAGGTTTTTTCAAATTATAAATTTGACACTTCACACTCACAGACTGAGGGAAAGCTGCAAACACTTATCTGGGCCAATGCCTGTCAGGTGCTCTGTTCAAGGGCAGTAAGATGTTCCTCTAGACACACAGGGCCATATTGGCATGAGAAGACTTTTTGAGCACGTTTCCGTGCTTCAGTGACACGTGTTTATTCTCTTCTCCAAGTCTGAGTGTGGTCTGATGTTCATACAGATATTTACATACAACAATAAAAGAAAAATCTTTTTGTAACTTACCCACCAAAAAGGAAAGCTCATCAAGAGAGATACAACTCAGCCACTCCTTCTGCAACCAGTACATTGTAAAAACAGCCTTTTCTGAAAATTATAGAAATGCAAAGATTAAATTAATTAACCTGTGAAGTTTATTTTGCATAAAGAATTGCATTACAAGTATAAATGCATTTTACATCTAAGAAGCTCTAATTCTGGCAACATTGCAATGCAGACTGTACTTTCCTCCTCTCTCATGTACTGCATTCAGAGAGGATTACATCATCTCAAAGAGCCAGAAAAACAGAAATAGACCAGGGAGGCCCATTACAGCAGACACAGAGCAATTAAAAAGACTATAACTTTTTAGTTAGAGAAGGAGATAACTCAAGAAAAAAGGGTCATTATGTTTCTAAAGAGACAAATAAAATCATGTGCAATTTAAGTTCTCGGAAAGGCCAGTAATGCCTTCCATCTGTTGAGAACAGCCTTGGAAGCACAGGAGGAAACTGTTCCATGATCTAGCAAAGAATTTAAACTAGCAGCTTAAATATTTGAGCAAATTGCTGGAACCAAAGGTAGTAGTTTGAACTTGATCATCAAATTGATCACTTCACTGCAATAACTCAGTGAGCATTAAAACAGAGTAATCAGTGTGTTTTTAAGCACTCTGGTATTCCTGAAGGACATTGACATGCTCTATTTTAATAGCAGGGCAGCAAGACAAATGATTTCTTTAAAAAAGTATATCAGTGAAATGTTATGGACTGCACTGAAACTATTAACACACACATGCTCATTCTGTGATGCTGTGACTTCAGGTTAAAATGGTTAAGCAAACCCAATTTTAAAATGCAAATAATTCATTACTTTGCTTTGATATTACCCTAAATTGAATTGTTTCCATTTTTATGTCAGGTTCCTCCTCCTTAGTATTTACTTCTAAAAAAAAATTAAATTTTATAACTAAATATTCCATATCTTTTCAAGCATTTTTTGTGTCTTTGTGCCAGTGGGGGAAGGTTCTGGTTCAAAGCTCAAAAGAGCAAATTTTCTGGTTTAAAAGATTTGAGTGAATTAATACTTGCAAATAATGTAGGCAGGTCAAAAGGAATGTCCTGCTTCTTCAAAAAGAATGTAATCCTGACAAATCACTAGTAACCATATTATACTGAATTCTTCAACAAACTAGAAAGTCATATATAGTCAAAGATTTCCTTAGCAGTCTTCTAGTGTAAAAAAACAGAGGAAGGTAAAATCAGAACCAACTATTCCCCCTTTCATCCTCATCAGAACCTCTGCCTCAGGGTTCAGGACTTTCTCTTATCTTAGTAATGGCACAGCCTGATCAACAAAACTTGATTCAGGATCATCACTCAAACACGGTTCCAACCACAGAAAATTGCTGTACAGCATGCAGGCATTTTCTTCCATGCTACAGGTGTAAGAAAAAAGAAAGATAACAGCAGAGAGGCTGCTCTCTTAAAGGTGTGCCATTTCTACAAAGTTCTTTCACAGTGCCCAAGGGTCTTGGAAATACAATCTACACTCAAACTCAATTCTCAGTATTTACATTCACAGGGTTTTGCTCAGGACCTGCTTCCTACATGTTCACTTCTCCATGCACATGGGCAGTTGAAACAATAGCCAGCTGGATTCACCAAATCTTGAGACCTTAATAATTCTTCAAAAATAAAAAGAGGCTTTTGTCTTTTCTGCTTGCAGACATTAAGAATTGCTCTCACCCAAATATCTTTTCAAAAACCCTAGTTAACATGTATTAGCAAATGTTTAAACTTTAGACAACTGACAGTCAAAGCTATTACTCTAGTATACAGGGAAGATGTTCACTGTAGGCTCTTCCAATACACAAAACAATACATATCCTTAGATGCTAAGAAATATACTAAATATGTGAAAGATTTGTAAAGGCACTGCATCAGAGAAGACAAAATTTCCATTGCCTTCTCGCTTCCTCCACCATGTTATACTATTATTATTCATATGCACACTGAAGAAAAAGTTACAGATCTGCCACTATTCTCACTATTCAGTAATTTGTTTACAAGCTGGCAGCTCTGTGAAGCTTGCAGATTAGCCGGAAATCACCCTGAAGGCTGGATATTGGGCAAATGCTACAATGGAGCAGCATCCTCAACCAGGCCAAGGAATCCCACAGAAGAGATCCCACATTCCCTTTAGAGAGAGATTAAAAACAAGCAGAGAGGAATGCGCCACACAATTCCTCCAGTCAATAAATATGCTCTAAGGATACTACTGGGTGCGGGGGAAAGACAGAGTAAAAAAATAAATAAATAAAATTCTGCTCTATCTTCCCTGGAGCTGTCATGGGAGCCAAAGCCGCAGCCTCACACCCCAGCGGCTTCCAGGCGGTGCCGCCTCACGGAGAGGGCAGCGCTGGGCAGGGCAGGGAACACCTGGCGAGGGCCGAGCTCGGAGCGGCGGATTCTCGCCCTGCCCAGGTAGCTGGCAGTGGTTTCTGGCCGGGTTTTTGTGACCCACAAGGCGGAGCAGCCCCTGCGGGGCGTGAGGCGCCCAGCCCAGCACGAACCCCTCAGGCAGAGGCGGCGCGGGGAGCCCGCTCAGCACCGGGCTGTTTCCGCTCCCGCCCCCCGCGCCCGCCGAGCCCGGCACTTTCGTTCCGGGGGCTGCGAGGGCCGCGCGGGAGCCGCGCCGGGCGGCGGGTGAGGAGCGGGCGGTGGGGGGCTGGAGCCGGAGCCGGGCGAGGAGCGGCTGAGGCGCTCCTGCCCCGCCGCGGCGGTGGCGGCAGGAGAGAGGAGGCAGCGCGGCTCGGGAGCGCCGAGGGGCCGCGCTGTGCGCGGGGCGGGCTGGGGCGGCTTTGCGGCCGCGGGGGCCTCGGTGCCGCTGGGGCGGCGGGACGGCTCCGCTCGGACACGCTGTAACCGGGGCTCGGCCGTGCCCGCCGGGCGCCCGGCGCTGTCCGCCCGCGGAAGCCGCGAGCGCTGCGCCCCGGGGCCGGCTGCGCTCACCTCGCCCGGTGACGGCAGCGAGCGGCGTACGGAGAGAGGCCCTGGCAGCCCATGAGCTGGGCACAGGCACAGCCCCCGAGATGCTCCGGCCGGCCTTCTGAGGCGTTCTAGAATTGCAGCTGGAGTGTGCAGGGATTTACCAGGGTTTGGAGATGAGGTGCAGACGGAGTTGTTAGTCTTACAAATATGTGTCTGAAATGAGATTTGGGTCTTAAAATTCTAGTCTGTAATTTTCTGAAGTGTACGGTACTGTATAGTGCTGCAGCCTGGGCACAGCTCTTATTTGGAGGCCACAGCGTGTCCCTTGTCAGTATCCATAACAAAAGTGCTTCGGGGTGTCACCGCTGAGCGCCACACAGTGTAAGGCATTACACTGAAAAGAATCGGTTTGCAGGCTGGGAATGCATGTCCAATTCCAGGGCCTCTCGCCCTCTGCTTCTTGAGGAAACTTGATAATAGCACAGGTTACTCTGAGATGTATACTGGCTTTATCTCAGAGAAACTTGAAAGCAAATTGCACTAGCAAATTCATATGCATATTAGTTTTTTATGTTTGAGTGGACTTCCCTGACCTTTCAAAAGTTATACCTTGGCAGAGGCGGAGGGAAGGTATCATAGCATGCATGAGTATTTAATTTTACCAGAAAATAACAATTTTTTCTGGGATTGATTTTAATTTGGTGTTGGAAACTTAGCTTAGTTTTTTTGGTTTTGTTACTTTCCAATTACATTACACTTGATTTTATTTAAACGCTTCATTTTGAATTACATTTCAGGACTTACTGTTTGTTTTTGTTAAACATGTCTTTGCTACATGATTTCATAAGTGTGATCCTTGACATGAAAAAGTAAACCTCAATTAGCTGAAAGTAAATCCTGAGAATAACTTCTTTCATTGCATGTAATGCAGCACAGAATGCCAAAGGCAGTTTATAACTACTGCAGGCTGTGCAGGCTCCTGGCTGGGGGCTGCTCTGGGGATGAGAGAGCACCCTGAGGGATCAGAGGGGCTTGTGACAGCACAGCAGCACTAATTCTGTCTGCCCTGGGGTGGGCACACAGTCATGTTTGTCATGCCTTGCTCGCAGTACATGGTGAAAATTCTGTGCCAGCTGTAGAGGGTGAGACAACAGCTGTCTTGAGGAAAGCCTGACAAAAATCCATCAGTGGTATTAATAAACACAAACTTGTGGAAGTCTAGACTGGATCAGCACTTACTATCTGGTACATGGGGCACCAAAGCCCTCTTCTGTTACTTTTCAGCCTCAAGCTCTTCTCCTGAAAAATTTCTTCTATTTCACAAAGTTCTGTCCAAGAGGAATTTCATTCAGGTTATTTGGTTGGCCCACACACAGTAAATTTTAGGATGGAAATCTAAATTTGCACAATTAATGTCTGTCTTATGAATTTCTGTATGTAGTTCCTTGTCAGTAGTCATGTTGGAGACTAATGGGATTGCTCATCCAGGTAAACATGCTTAGCAGTGTTTTCATAAAATTCTAGACACAGATCTTAACAGATCTTAACAGTAGACTTCTGCAGGACTTGAGTGAGTGGGATAATGAATGTACATCTGTGCATTAAAGATGCAAATCTCAGGTTCTTTCTAGCTGTTTATCTCATGCTCTCCTGGGATCTCCTGAATCAGATGATTTTATTATTCTTTCTGTTGTAGGAAATGCCATCTTTAATGAGATGTTTTTTGTTAAATGGGATAATACAGAATATTTTCCAGTAGATTAGTTCATCGTGATTGGATTTTTATGTAACAAAATTTTGTCTGTTTCAGCTAACCATGTCTTTAAATTCATCTACACTTTTAAATGAAGAAAACACACGAGAAGCAAAAAGAAATACTGAGTGTTTGGAAAGCCTACTGCAGACTCCATCATCAGTTCAAAATAATCCACTTCAACAACTACAGTTAGCATCCCAGGAAGTACTGGAAAAGGCAAAAAAGAGTGGGAGATCAAAATGCCCCCGATGCAATAGTTCAAGGATGTTTTATTGTTATACATGCTTTGTTCCTGTTGAAACTGTCCCCATCAAAGAAATTCCAACTGTGAAGGTTAATATTTCTTAATGATTTTTTAGAATATCTCTTGAGTTTTAGTTACTGTGGGCAGAGAATAGTCTTGTCTGCAGCTGTTTATTTTCATTCTTTACAGACATTCATTTTGAACACAGCTATAAGTATGAATAAACTGCAGTTAAATAAAATTACTGTTCTTACTTGAGGAATTACATATACAAACACTGAAAATGTTCCAATCCTCACATAAACATTTATGGATCTTCTAGATGAGAATATAGGCTGAAGTCACTCAGCTTCTCATGCAACTGTGTTTTCACTTAGTTGTTGAAAGTTTCTTTATGGTGTTTTTGCACATTCTTCAGTTTCTAATAACTGGCCAGAACATGTTATATTGTGAACAAAAAATTTGTCCAAGAGCAAGGGTGAATTTTACATAAAATGTGACCTAAAAGACATTTCTATAGACATTCCATGGTTCTATAATTCAGATAACTACTCTTACAATATAAATAGTGTAATGCCTTTCAGCTGAGTTACTTGGGGAAACAATCACATTTTGCGAAGTCAGTTTGGATTGAAGATGGATTTTGAAGACACTGGAGTTTGAAAGCAACATAAAAATACTTTAGCAGTACTTTCGAAATTTGACCTAGTAAACTTAGGTATATTTTCATTGAAATAGTAATTTTCATAGTTGGCTGAGTACCTAATAGAGATAAGTATTCATATTTAGAACTATTATATTGCTCAAATTAAGACCACATCCAGCTTACATTATTGATTCTTTTTCTGGAGATTTTACCAAACTACTGCTGGCAGCATTCCAAAGTGCATCATTGCTTATTTAGCTATTTGCATAAACTTAATGTAATAGGTGCTTCTTCTAACTTGTCTCTAGTTCTAAACCTATCAAAAATTATCAGATATATTTTAGTTACATACCCATAGGAATTTCTTCCAAATTTTGAATAGGTTTTTGTACAGATATTTATAAATATGATGATAAATACTGCTTTTTTCTTCTTCTACTCTAGTTACCTCTGAAGATTGACATTATTAAACACCCAAACGAAACCGACGGCAAAAGCACTGCTGTGCATGCTAAGCTCCTGGCACCTGATGATGTTACAATCTATAAATACCCTTGCATTCCAGAATATGACAAGAAGAGACACGAAGTAAGAGATTCTCTAGAGATAGCCAGGCTTCATGCTGGGGAGGTGCAGTTTCCTCCTGCAGTGGTAGTGCCCTGCAGGGAGGAAACCAATGTTCCGTTAGTGCAGTCCATCCTGTGCTCTCTCAAAGCTTAGCTCTGCAAACACACAGTTCTGGACTGCAGCCTTTTCTCCAAAGCTGAGAAAGACTGCAGCACTATTTAACCACCTTGGATTTGCTATGTTCATTACCTCACATAATGGAGAATTGGATTTCCTGTGTATCTGAAGAAATATTTTGCCTATAAATAAAAGTATTCAACTTGGAGCAAGTTAAACAGCAGTTGAATGTTGTGCTGGTATTTAGCAGCTGCAATATTTAAACCCCCTTAAAATTTTTAACATTCACTATGGCAGAGGAAAACAATGAAAATTCAAGTCTTGTCTATCATAGCATAGAGCACAAAAAAAGTGAGTTTTGAAATTGGATGTATATATTAATTTAAATGGTAAGCTATTATTTTTGGCCCTCCTGCCCCATATACAGTAGTGACAAGTGATATTAGAACATCTTCAGGGCTGACACCTTTGTCTTGGCTGAAAAATCTTTTTATACAGAAGTGTTAGAGTTGTAGTGTAGAGGCATGGAAGTAACATTAGTTAAAAATCTCTATTAAGGATCTCAATTCATTAACATGTTTTTAACATGGATTTAACACTGGATTAGACAATAGAACATTTTTAAGAGATATTATTTCATCTTGTCCTGACTTAAATGTTTATAGACAGGGTAGAAAATTTCTGTTCTTTAATACAACAATTCTTGTTGTTTTATTAGATTTTATTGATACTCAGATCTCTTTGTTTTTTTCATTCAGATAGCACTTATATTTCCTGGCCCCAATTCAGTTTCAGTAAAAGATATTGCTTTTCATCTCCAAAAGTACACCAAGAAAGGTGTCTGTTCTAGTGATGATGACTGTTCCAGAGAGCCACTTCTTAAACAAGCAAAAATAGAACCTGAAGAAGAAAAAATTCCAAATGAGTGCATCTCAAGCAGCAGGAGTGAAGGCACTAGACTGAAGAAAATAATATTTATTGATAGTACCTGGAATCAAACTAACAAGATAATAACTGATGAACGACTTCAAGGTAAAAAAGTACAAGTTGATACTGAGACATTATTGCTGCAGGAATGATTAAGGGACATATGTCTATAACAGACCTGAGTACAATGTAAGCTTGTATGTACCCCTATCTCTGAGTGTATATCAAGGATTCAGCAGCCTGTTCCAGGGCTGTAAAATACTTCTGAGCCAAAGACTCCATTACTTTTCATGTAATATAAATTATTTTGCAAAAAAGGTAATACTAGTACTAAGAGAGCATTTGCATTTATTTGTCTCACTTCTCTATTGGAGAAAATTTCCTCAGTCTCAGAGAATGTGAGGTGACACGTTAGACAGTACAACAGTAGTTTGAATGGCCTCTGAAGGAAGCCAGGAAGATTTTTTTTTTTTGCAGATGGCTGCCTGCTTTCCAGAGACCCACAGGACCATTTGTGTACATGTTGGTGGCAGACAGGCCCCAAGAAGGTAAATGAGGGATTTAGGAGGTTCAGCACAGGTTTCTCATGGCTTGGGTTCTCTTTCTCCTGAAGTTGTTAATGAACATTTCCATGAACTCACTACTCCAGACAAAAAGGGAATGACTGCTTGCCCTCCACACCCTTCCAACTCTGAGAGCAGAAACTGGTAATTCTACAAAAAGTTTTTGTCTTGGGTTCTTTACAAGAAGTTTACATTTAAGCATTCTAATTAAAACCACAAAAGACAAAACAATTTAGCAACAGCATTCCATTTCCTTTGAGATGAATAGGAGTTGGAAAATACTTTCATTAGTGCAAAAAGTGCACTTAGCTGGGAGGCAGGTTGTCAAGTTTATATACTATATCTATCTATCTATCTATATATATACACACAAATATATACTACTGCTGCTTTACACTGGGTCCTACAAGGAATTTCACAGACTTTCTTACACAGAAGATGAATGTTGTCTTGCTGTCTAGTCAGTTTATTAAAGAATTCCACATGTTAGTATGATGTATTGGCTAATTAAAATCCTGTTAAGTTTAACACAAAACATACTCTTATCAGCTACATTGAAGTGTTACTGTAAAGATTAGAGGAATTCCATGCTGCACATTAATGTAAGGCATTTGAAACTTATTTTAAGAGAATGAATTCAAGGAAAATAATAGGCAGCCAGGGGAGCTGAAAAATTCCATGGAAGCCTATGCAAATATTAGTCAAAAAGTCTTAATTGGTGTTACTTTGGAGCTCCTGAATGGTGTCCAGTTTCCCCATGATAATGCTGATTTGGTGGGCTACTATTTCCTTTCTAGAACAACTCGGTTCCAGCTGTTTTGCAGCCCCCCTGAGTTCCTGAGCACCTTTCAGAATTACTGTGATGTTTAATAGTTTCATGCAAGTCAGTTTCTAGTATGGGAGAATATTACCCATCCACACATTGGGCATAACAGCCTGTGCATGCAATGCTTTCCTTAGTGCTTGTCATAAAGAACATAAATTGCATTAATACCCCTTTTAGAGATTGCCGTTTTCACTTCCAAGATGAATGGGGCAGAGTTGCCTTAGGCATAAACTGATGACATTTTTATGTTGTACATACATGAAAAATAGAGAACTGTTTTCATTTTTCAGTTCAATTGCAAATGAAGTCATCATCCCATCCAACAAAATATTCATCATATGCTAAAGTTCAAAAAGGAGTGTTCATAATTCCAAATAAAAAGTAATTGCCATACTTATGAAGATTAAGTTACAAGAAATATTGAATGAAAACATTAATGAAGCCAAGAAAACTTAAAGAAAAACCTTGTGTTTTATAAGCCTGTATTTATATAGATAGCAAATCTAGTAAATTGTGCTGCAAGAGAAAGCAAATGAGTACATTGATCTTAAAATAAGCTGAGAGAACATGGACAAAAAATACTTCTATATCTTGGAAAAGTGCTTAATATATCTTTATAAAACAAAATGAAATCAGTTAAAGACAAGAAATACATGAGAGTTGGTAATGTCTAGGATTGATTACGTCATTAAAAGTGATCCCTAGATCAGAAAAAAACATTTGAATCTAATGTTAATGATGACTTTCGCACATGACTGACAGAGCTTATTAGCAATATCACATGACTGTTAAAGAAACTGATTGCTTTGGGTTTTCTTCCATGTAAGTTTGAACTGCTTTGTATCAGCCAAATATTTTATTAGCTTATACATTAGTATTGTGGGGTTTCATATGAACAGTGCGTATTTGTAAGAAAACATTGCCTTTGGCCGTATAGATCCAGTACAGATCAAACATGCTCAGTAAACTTTAATCCTTAACCCCCTCTGGTTTTATTTTATTTTTATGGAAGGTCCTAAAGTCTTTTGTTTGAAAGAAACCAATACTGCACTTGTGGTAAGCTCAGTAGTGTCCGTGGTCTTGCCTTCAGTGAACTTTTGTTTGTATTCAAACCACAACTACTTGGGAGTTTATGTTGGAGGAATCATCCCTGAGATTTACTTCACTGCTTTTAGGGTGAAAGCACTGCTGGATTTGATGGAAGTTTTCACTTTGGTTAGGGCTGAGAATTCAACTGTTGAAAACTCTCAAGGGCAACAAGCTTAATGCAGTTTCCTACTTTGTAGGATTATTAGAGGTAATAATTAGACTATGTATGCTATTTTGAGGTTTTGGTTCTGAAATACCAATAATAACATTTAAATTCAGGGACAGGCTCTCCTGTTCAGTTTGGGATTTTTTTTAATGCTGTAATTGAGATTTCTTCTACAATGCAGGATACCATACATTACTAACTGCAAAGCAACCTAAACCCCTCTTGCAATAAGACTGAAAATAATTAAACACAGTTTATAGGCTAAAAGTGTGGCATTAAAGTGCTGGGCTTAGCCTGAATTTGGACCTTACCTGAATTTGGAAATCTCCCTGTCCATAACTTCCAAGCAATTCTTCAACCATATTGGTTTTTGTACTGTTACCTGTATTAAACTGTCCCATGAGAGAGAGTATCAGATTGTGACAGAAAAAGATAACTTTACAATCTGCTTCTGATATTGAGAGGTGTGTATCCTGTTTTTCATTATCCAGCTGCCCATCCTGTTTACAAAGTGATAACACATTAAGGTGGTTTTAGTTTTGAATAATTTGTGCATCTTAGGAAACATAAAAACCAAGATATATGTTTAAAATTCATCTGAATAATAGAATAGTTAGAGACTATGAGTAGATTAAAGATTTTCTTGTGCCATACAGACACACAATTCCCTCTTTCATCTTAAGTGGGAATGCTTTTAGTATGTAATAAAGTTAATTACAGGATGCTGTCATACTTACTCCTGAGAAATTTCAATAAATTTCAGTTACTTAACAAGCATAAATGAAAAGTTACTGGCTCTTGCAAATAGTCCTCACTTCAGCAACACTAACAGTCTGAGGGATTCTGTTTTACACTTGAAAAGCATTTACTTTTCAAAAGATGAAATAATTTTATGAACATTGATGAGTCTTGGTAGGAGTGGATTTCACTCGACATGTGGAGAGACTCTGCAGTTTCCTGAGGGCTGTGTGGCTGTTTGAATGAAAGGATAACTGTAATTAACTGCTGATATGAAGCTTATAACCCATGACTTACAGCACTTCATCAAATGCCAAAGTGCTCCAAAAAGGATAAAATTATTGCCTCAGTTTTACAGATAAAAAATGGAGGTACAGGAAGAGAAATTATTTTCGTGCAGGCACTGAGCAGGGTAGCAGCAAAGTCAGAAAACAAAACTAAAGTCTTGTTTGACATTCTGGCCACTAATCCACATTGTCTAATCTAGATCATCTTTTTTCCTTGACAGGGTTACTGCAAATTGAGTTGAAGACAAGGAAAACTTGCTTTTGGCGTCATCAGAAGGGAACACCAGATACATACCTTTCCACAATAGAGGCAATTTATTATTTCCTTGTGGACTATCATCAGGAGATTTTGAAAGAGAGCTACAGAGGACAATATGATAATCTGCTTTTTTTCTTTTCATTTATGTATACATTGATTAAAGATGCAAAGTGTTGTGCAGGAAAAGAGTAAGCTGTCTGTCAGTGTATGGCACTACTTTTTTTTTGTAATGATAAACTGCACAAACATTACTAGGATTTTTTTTTTTTTTTTTTTTTTGGAAATAGATTGTATTCTAAATAATGTCCAGAAGTGAGCTGCAGACCTCCTCCTGCATGCTTGAGGTTGTAGAACTGCTCAGATGAGCAGTCTGATTAGAGTGACTTATTTGAAAATAGTTACATTTTGCTAAATATTGCTGTACTTCAACCTACAGGCCTGATGTGCTCACTGTGATGAGCACATTTCCTGAGATGGGAGTGGAGGACTTGACCCCTCTTGCTGTAAGGAGTGATCTCTTTTAAGTGTAAGAATAAATTAGCATGCTGGCTTTTCATTGTTACTAATACTTATGTCAGATGTTTTCTTTGTGGTTTACACAGCAATACTGATTTTGCCTTTATGGCATCAAAGGCTTACTGAAATGAGCAGATGCTATTTAGTTGCTGGGGAGAGTAGCAGCAATACAGAATGAAAGAGCACATTAATTGAATGTGAATTATATACTTTCAAGATTAAATATGGAAAATTCTTCAGTAATAAAAAAGTGGTCTCTTTAAACACTGTTATACAATGTATGATTTCTGTAGTACCGTTCATGTACTCTTATATTAGGATTATTCTCAACTTTCTGGGTAATTTTAGACTTCTTCAAACAAATTTAGTTAAGTGTTCATTACTGTTATATATTATCATTATTTGGGGGAGCACTAACCTAACAAATGTCACTATGGCATATTGTAGGCACTGCTTATAAAAGACGGTGGTTCTGACCACAACATTTCTGACAAGGCTTCCTTAAACTAAGCAGGCTGTGATTCTGCTCTGTTTTTCCTTTTGCAGTAACAGGGCAGATTAGAACAGTGCCAGTAAGACTTTGTGCTGATGGGAGTTTTGTCATAGGTCTAGTGCTGCTGTCAGAGTCATCACGTGTGGATGTAGCCAAGCTGTACCAGCACAGCCAGTGCTGGCAGAGGTAATAGACCTGAGCTTTAGAGCAGAGTTATATGAATATATTTTAGATTATACATTGATAAAAGTTATATTCCTAAGGTAGAAAAAATGTTTCATTACAGGTACAATATAAAATGGATAAATATTTCTGAATATTCTTAGAAATGTGTAAATGTGTTACTTTAGACAAAAATATATCTTGTCAAAGTGACAGACTGAAAAATTATAATAGATTATTTTTAAACAAAGCATTCAAGTTTTTGTTATCACTTGTAGCATACTCTCTAGGAGGGCACTCACACACCCTGGTGAACATAGAAATAGTGTCTTGGAAAATACTTCAAGAAAATGTTTTTATACTTACACAGCAGTCCATACAGGCTGAACTACCTGGTTTGTACTGCATTTTTAATGCTTCAAGATAGTGAAATCTTACTATTGCTTCAAACAGAAGATACAAATACAATCTCTTACATCATATCTCATATTGGTATGCTTATCTGCACAAGTGCATATAAAAAGACATTTCAGTGGACAACAAAAACATCCCCACTTGCAGAACAAAATCCTGGTTATGTTATGAAGTTATGAAATATGCATGAACTATAATAGCACCACAGGAAACAGGCTTGGAGTAATAAGGAGAAATATTATTTTTATATCTACCTGTATATTGAGTTTACGTGCCAAGCAAAGAGAAAAATCAGCAGTCATGTCTCAGTGCTAGTAAAACAACACTGCCTACTCATTTGGTTCTTATTGCTATTGAGAGGTTATTTTGGCTTTTTAAAATGATTAATATTATTTCCTTTGGTATGAATTTTGATAGTCTTTTGACATTTCCATTTGTTCTTGTATTTCTTAAACAAAGATTGTTGTAATTTTTTTTTTAATCACACAAGTATAATAGCTTGAGAAGGAAACTTTCACCCACTTTAAACAAACAAAAATAAAATTAACCCACTGACCTAATGTTTTACAAGAACCAGAGAGAAAAATCTGGGGGGAGATGGGGAGTTACTTCCAAGACACATTTCCCTGAAAACATGTTTTTTATTTAAGAAGCAGAGGTCAGATAAAAGCTTATATAAGCTGTTCTTCGTTACTTTTGGAAAATAGTTTCATAAGGTGAAAAATTGTTTCCCAGTTTAAGTTTTGTGTATCTCACTTTATTTGGACAAAGGGAATTAAGAATCCTTTCCAAAAAAAAGTTAGTTTTAACTCTCAGATGAAATTAATGTACAGAAAGGATTTTAAATCTGGCATACTGTATCCAGGAACTGGGTTCAGATTCTTTTTCTTCCAATGCAACCTCAGTGTAATGCAAGAGTCATTTGTTATACCAAGGGACAGAGGCACACCTAATACCTGTAATTCGTTACGCTCTGCTATTCCTCTGATAACCTTTTACGGGGGCAGGAAGGAGGTTTTTATCACTTCTGCTGCAAATCTGTCCTGTCTGAGCAGCAGATGTAGTTGCCCTTTCTCTCATATATATAAAAATATTAACATCCTCTATTTAATGTTGATGTTGGTATAAGAAGCCAAACTAAGTCATCCATCTCACACTGAAAGCATCTTAGTACATCTGATACATTTCCCCAGCTTTGAGACTAAAGAAAAATTTTGTTCCACTAAATTAAAGCAATTGAGTGGTTAATCCTTTCAAGTGCAATTAGCAGCACTGACCTCCCTGTTCTTTAAATTGAGGGTCATGGGGAGGTAAAGGCCAGTTCTGGGCCTTTTCTTTCATATCAGAATGCCCCTTCCCTATCTCTTCTCTTTCCAAAAACATCAGAGACCAAGAGAGAAAAACAGGCTTCTGCTTCCATTAGCAGTAACTTAAACAGCCATAAGTTAAAGGGGGAGGAAAAGGAAGAGCATCTCTATCTCCTCTCACAACAGGAGACATCTGGCCTCCTGTGGGGAGGCCCCAGATAACAAAGAACCTGTCAGTGCAAACCTCCACGATGTGTTCAGAGAACCATTTTACCTGCAGTCTGGCTCATTCATTTCCTGCCACTGAAGCCATCTGCTTTTGCTTATTGTGGGTATTCTTGTTCTTTGTTTGGCCAGGAGCATGAAGTGGCTTCATTTTAGCATGCCTGTAAGCTTGGTCAGAGGGAGTATTTAATCCTTTTCTCAAAAAGAATAAGAGAGGGAGCTGCTGCAAAAAACAATTCCTTTCCTGGAAGGTAGCAGAAATGTCATCCAAGCCGAGGTTGAATAAAGGGTCATGTCAGTGCATGGGGTAAAGATACATTGAGATTGAAAAGAGATGCCAACTTGGAATCTACAGCACAACCTCCCAAAGCACTTCTAATCTTACCTGATTTAAATCCTTTGCTACTGCTTCTTGGAATTTTTGAGTCCATCTGGTTTTCAACATCGTGTTCTTCAGGCCCAACAGCAGAGTAATACAAGGATCTGTTCTTACCTTGCCCTGTGTTTCAGTACTTTGCCTGAATGCTCTAAAACTCAGCCTACATAAATGATGGTTATAGCATACTTGTACAAAATGTGATGCAATATGAAAATCCATCCTACCTACCCCACCTTCAAAAGTGCCAAAAGAAGAAGGGAGGGAGGGAAACTTCCTGTTAATTTCTCATCATGTACTACAATGCAGTTAATACACTCCCAGGTGCCATTAACTTGTGTCTCAGAGTATTCTGGGACACAACAGTTAATGATGATTGCAGCACAATTAGAACAGGAAAGCTTTCTCACTAAGATCAAAATATGTGGCAGTCAAACTCCTGATCTACTGATACCAGAATATGAGGTCACCTATCAAGGTACTGAAGGACTCAACGTAGTTCCTCAACTGTTACTCCTTTTCTTGAGGGACACCGTTTTAGTAGAATTCTAATGCTGTCATTAAGAATGTTAATTGTGACTGATCAAACTTGGTAATACCAACATTTAAAGGAAGTGTTTATATGAAAAATCTACCAGATTCTTCCTGTTTGCTTGTTGGGAAAAGTAACACATAGCTGCCATTTTACAGATTCAGAAGAGAAATGAGATGCTGTCGAATTTAGAAAGTAGTATATCACATAAAACTATTCATAGTGGTGTGATTTCTTCACCCCTATCTGCCAGAAATAAATTCAAATAATTCTGAAGTTCCAGAGTAAGAGGTGGGAACTAGTTCTCTAATGCAAAACAGGCAGCAGACTGTATTTTTACCTAATGGAAAGTGGAAATTTTTGTCTAACTTTAGCAATACTGGTGTGGTTGCCACATGATTTTACTGCTGACTTCTCAGACCACTGGTGTTGCAATAGGATGTTTAGAAAAATACCACAGAAGAGTGAACAGAAGAGAATGTGCTCCACCAACATACCCCAGAATGAGTCCTGCTCCTTCTCTGATCCTGTACACTGTGCTTCACTTACTTGTAATTTCTGCCTCTGAATAAAGTGTCTTTCTTTGAAACGCTATCTCTATGAAACTGAGCACATAAGGCAGTTTAACTGGCATGAAGTCTAAAAGCTTTAGTACAATTTTTGAAATAATTTGCTTTGGAGATGGATACTAATTAACTGAAGAGAATCAAACTCCTTTAGATTTAAAAATCTATCCTTTTGTCTTTTCTACAGAAGAACAACACTTGAGGTTCCAGCAAAAGAAGCTTGCTCAAGCTGAAACTCAGCCTTCTTTTAATTTCCTAATGTTAAATAAAAATTTTGTATTTCAAGAGCATCATAATGTCTTATTTCTTTCAAAAATTATTTTTGAGGTTTCAGTTTCATGACTAAATTTTTTGCCAAATGCAGCATGAATTTCAGCTGACCTGAAACTGCATTTTTCTAGTGATTAGTCTATGCAGCTGAACATGCAGTATAGTTTTTCTGTTGACAAGTTTTCTTTGGGCAGAATCCATACTACAGTCTTTTTCTTTTTTTCATGTTTACAGCAGACAAGCAACTTGATACAGCTTCCATTGTCAGAATTGTCCCACAACACACCTCAGTCTACTTGAGGCAGTTGGATCACGTCATTCCTCTTTTAACCTCACACGTGTCTGAGTGTGGTGACAATATTGGCTTTGTTCTGCATGCATGCATTGGTTAAGAATACAAAAGTACTTGCATTCTATTCTATTGTGACTGTGTTGGCAAAAAAATATAACATAGAAACCTTTACATCACCAAAAGCTTCTCTTTTCTTTGAATATGGCTTACTTTTTCCAGGCAACTGGTTTAAAACCAATGCCTGAAGTAGCTGCCAGGGAACTGGCCAACAAAATTACAGTGTCAAAGTCTTGAATGCAAAAGGCTCTCTAAAGTAGGCATGGCTGAGCTGATTTTGCTTATTTTAAAAGAATTCATTGAAAAAGAATGGAGTAAGAAACAAAAAAATGCTTGAATTTTTTGAAGACTGTGAAAACTAACAGTAGATTCAAGTAATCAAGGTAACATGCAATACTTCAGTTGTTCCAACATGTGGATGGTCTGATGGCAATGGCCAGGATTTGGTTTTTTAGGCCTCTGCAAAGTTCTGCCCTCTCTATATAGGCCTATGTGCCTATGTACATCCATCTTTAAGAAATTGATTTAGAAAAGACATTTCTAGATTATATTTCTATATGTTGGCACTTTTCTTGTAAGAAATTAATGTATAATAACTAACTCTGTACTAAACTCTGTCCCTGTCTTTCAGTACCTTGTTTGGTTTTCCAAAGTTCCAGTATTGGCATGCTACTGATAACAGAATTGGGATCTTCCTGTGCTGCTGAGTTTACTGTGTCATTTGCACCAGTGACCAGAGCCAAGTCCGTATCTCAGACGAAAAGGAAATATATTACAAAATGTGTTATTATCAAAGGAAAAGCCACTGCTTCAAGTTATCAAGACAACACCAAAGCACATTAATCAAGCAGACAATAAATGATGACAGCTTGTTGTTTCATCTGAATGAAAAAATTAAATCCATCTGTTGGTGTTCAAACCTAGAATCCAATCTTGGCAGTTCCATGTGCTAATGAAAACTATTGAAAAAATTTCATGCATTCCCTATGCAAGATATCATAAAAATAAATACTCCTAAGACTTAAGGGGCAGTGTTACGCAAGGCCGTGGTGAGGTCACTAAATAGAGCACATGTGTGGGATCTGAGGATGACGTGCATTATGTTATACCACACAGAATTTCAACACTGCTCACTTACAGGCCAAACCTCCAGTATCTGTTCTGATCAGCTTCTCAGTTCCATGGCTCTGCATGCAAGAAGCACTGCATTT